CACTGCTGTAATCATAGCAGGTACCACCACAGTCAATATGCACTGCTGTAATCACAGCAGGTACCACCACAGTCAGTATGTACTGCTGTAATCATAGCAGGTACCACCACAGTCAGTATGCACTGCTGTAGTGATAGCAGGTACCACCACAGTCGGTATGCACTGCTGTAGTGATAGCAGGTACCACCACAGTCGGTATGCACTGCTGTAGTGATAGCAGGTACCACCACAGTCAGTATGCACTGCTGTAATCATAGCATGTACCACCACAGTCAGTATGCACTGCTGTAGTGATAGCAGGTACCACCACAGTCGGTATGCACTGCTGTAGTGATAGTAGATACTGCTATATAGTTAGTAGATACTAAAACAGTCAGTAAATACCACTACAGTCAGTAAATATTGCTACAGTAAGTAGATACTACTATACAGTCAGTAGATACTACTACGGTCATTAGCTACTAGAGTCAGTAGATACTACTAGAGAGTAGATACTGCTATCGAGTTAGTAGATATTACTATAGTCAGTTGATACTACTATATAGTCAGCATATACTATGATAGAGTTAGTTGTTACTACTATAGAGTCGGTAGATACTACTGTAGGGCCAGTAGATACTACTACGGTCATTAGCTACTAGTCAGTAAATACTACTACACAGTCAGTAGCTACTACTGGCTCAGTAGATACTACTGTACAGTCAGTAGATACAACTACAGAGGCAAGAGATACTACTTACTCTGTTGTGTGTAGGGTGTATAGGTATAGATACCTACGTGAGGGTCAATATATTTTTTGAGGGGGGTGGGTCGACAATTTTCGGAAACCTTTTAGATCAACTGTTTACCCCCCACTTTCTATAACTTTGGACTTGTGCAAGCCTCTTATAATTTTGTTAATGGAGAAATGGGCAAACGGCCCACTGGGCTTTCACAATACCTTAGTATCTGTGTATGTATATGTAAGGTTTTTAAGAGAAGTTTTGAAAATATTTTTTACCCGGGCAATGCCGGGTACTTACCGCTAGTATGTTATAAAGTGGCCCTAAATGAAAAAAAAACTTGAATATTAAAACACCATTTTTTTACTTGCATAGCAAAGTAATTGTATTTTTGTATTTGCTATACAGCCAGATAAAACGACAAATCGCTAACCTTAAACACTCAGCCGTTCATAAAAGTTGAAGGGGCGGTATAGTACTATGGTAGTAGAGCAAGTGCAGAATAACCGAACCGTGAATTGATATTTTGAAAGCATTTAGCACGGGGCCCTTGAAAGTGCGGGGCCCGTAGCATTTGCTACTTTTGCTACGAGGACAATCCGCCACTGATCACGGCCGGCGTGAGCCGCATTCGACTGAGGATCTCCAGCGGTGGTTCTTCTTATCCTGGAGGCGCGAGATGCCCTTTTCCGGGGGTGCGAGACATCAAACCCTATGTATTTATTAGCATTATACTTTTTTTTTACAACGTAGAGAGAGAGACACACAGAGGGAGAGAGTGATCGAGCCTGGACTTTTAACCGAATACTCTTTGGTTCTTTCGGTAAAGTCACGTAGGTCGAAAAAATAATAGATCACGGTCGCAACAACAAGCGACGTCGTGATCTAGTATTTTTTCTACCTACGTGACTTTACCGAAAAAACCAAAGAGGATGAATTCCTGCAGTCACGAAAGCTTTAAATCAAGATATAATGTAAACAAAAACTTTGGGTTTTTTTCACCAATGGGTTTGAAGGATGGTGGCAAGTGTTGTATTGTTAAACTATGCATTTAAAACTGAAAACTACTTACCTGCAATACCTCTAGTTGGTGACTTCAACAGCCTCGACCACGGTGGCTAGGAGATGGTAACTACCTCGCCTGGTATACAAGAGATTGTGGGTCCCATCTCGACCCCGACGCCTGCTGCTCTATATTTGGAGTTTGCGTGTCTCTCTCCCCGCGGTCGCGTAGATTTTTCTCTCGATCCTCCGGTTTTCCCCTCCGCGCTAAGAATCAACATAGCGCGTTCAAATTAATTTGGCTGCTGCCCAAAAATGCCCACGTGACAATGATAAGCCCACTTCGTTTGAGCCATCATTTGTGGCATGCGAGGTCGCTTCTGACAAAAAAAAATAGCTACGTCGCTCAAGTTTGGGGCCTCACCCCGGTAAAATACAAAATATATATACGTAGTTTGAATCTTGATTTGAAGCTTTCGTGACTGCAGGAATCCACACTTTGGTTCTTTTGGTAAAGTCATCACGTAGTTAGAAAAAAATCAAAAAAATCAACGACGTTTCAATCGCAACGCAAGCAATCGTCATCAGGTGGAAGAAAGATGACGATTGCTTGCGTTGCGATCGAAACGTCACGTGATCAATGATTTTTTTCTCTACCCACGTGACTTTACCGAAAGAAACAAAGAATATACGCAGTAGTGCGCATCGGGCTCCCACCGTTCTGACAATCAGCGCGTTGATCTTTCAGTGAATAGCGCGTGGTTTGCAATTGGCGTGTAACACACGGCACACGTGAATATTAATCAAGAACCACGCAGAGGTCACGCGAGACTTTTTTTGTGTTTGTCAGGAGGGTCCCGTTGCTGCATTGCGTTTTTACTTTTGTACATTTGATCAGCCAATTCGTCACGAGTCGCAGTCTATTATATTCTTGGTTCTTTCGGTAAAGTCACGTAAAAGGGAAACAATAAAATAAAAGCAATTTATCGACTTTTTTCAAATTTTCTTGTTGTGGTTTTCACACCTGATGATGATTGCTTGTGTTGCAGTCGAAACGTCGTGAGAATTTTATTGTTTTATATATTTTTTAATATTATTATTTTGTTTCCCTTCTACGTGACTTTACCGAAAGAACCAATAATATGAATCCCTGCAGTCACGAAAGCTTTCAATCGTAGTATATTATTATTATTCACGTGGGAGGAAGAACCCGGAGCACCCGGAGAAAACCCCACGGATGGAAATGTTTGGGGGGGGGGGGCATGAATCAACCTGCCGTGCTGCCTTCTCGTGGTGAACCAGGAGCATGATACATCATCGACGGGTAAGGGCGTGCAGCGACCCACCAAGTCTCACGGCCCTCAACAGTGCCGGACTACAGGCCACGTGGACATAGCCACCACCACCCCCCCACCCAGGACTCCACGTGGACATAGTCACCACCACCACCCCCCCAGGGCTGTGATCGTCTCTGCTGTTCGACACGGGATTCGAGGGAAGGAGACGGCAGACAGATGAATGGGCGAGGCAGATCAGAGAGCAGCTGAGACGGGATGCAAGGCAGCGCGTGTTGTGTGCCTGTGAGTTGCGTATGTACAACATTGTGCCTGTGTGTACACGTGTGTGTGTGTATGCACGCGTGTATTTTGGCATCTCGGTGTTCCCCGGCTGTATAAACCGCGGCGAGCGGAATGTTCCCTCGGCGTCTCAATTAAATCGCTACTCGGGACAGACAGGGGACATCTAATGATCCGCTTATGTGACCCACTTCTCACCCCCGCCCCCCCCCCCCCAGCGAATATCTGCCACCGATATCCACCGCTGTCCCCGCCGCACCGACCTCGAATCTCACCGCGACAAAAACCTCGGACAAGCTCGTCAATAGGATCGTGTGTTGCGTGTGGTCTTGTATATAAAATATACACGTTTCGGGCAATGGGCCTTCTTCCCAGCAACTCAACCTCTGTTGTTAAGGGCCACTGCTCGAAACGTCACCTGTTGGTTTAACGCGTAGGCTTTCGCAACCAATGTCATCCATACTATAGGTTTTTTTAGGGAGGGTTAGAACGCGATCTAACCACAAAAAGACCTCCTGTATGACGTCACCTGTTTTTGTTTTAATCTTTCTGATGCCACCCAGTGTCGTTATTGACAAGATGTTGAGTTTGCTTTCGTTATTTGTGCACCAACCACTGCCAACGCGGCGAGCTGCTACTGCAGCAGCGTCGGCAATGAATTGGCACGTGTTCGTTCACGAGACAACTCTTATTCATTTGGCTGTCGGGTGGAGGAGGGTGCACGACACACATTGTCATTATATTCACGCGGTGATATTACCGAATAAAAAACACAATTAATCGACAGGATGTCCAAATAATTCGGCATCATCAGTAGTTAACACGTGGGTCTTCAGTGGCGCGTGTGGCCATGCCAGGGCCTGTATCGCCACCTACAGCTGTGGTGAGGAATCAATGGTTCCGTTGGCTGCCATTCGTTTCGCCAAAGTCAAAAGTGTGGCTGGCATTGGTACTCATCTCTCGTTCAGGCCTTGCCGAGCCGGTGGTGGAAATCCCACACGCCTGTGGCGGAGGCGAGCATAGCCACAAGACAACCACACTGTTGACCGATTTATCCACAAGGTAGTGATAAATGTTATCGGCCCCAAAAGGGATGATTGGTTGGCCTGCAACAGACCATCAGTAAACGTGCAATTCTGTTTGCGATACTTTGTGCCAGATCCGTGTGCGTGGACCGCTGCTGTCAATCCACTGCTGGATGAGGGCGGTGACCTGATGTGGTAACACGCTCGCCGCTCACTGCAGACAGAGGTTTCGTGGTTTGAACCCAGTGCCCGCCCCGTTAAGTACTGCAGCGTACAATTAACACCGCACGACAACTCGCGCTGCGCGCCTCGCTCGAAGCTGACACTGCGACGAATGCCCCCACGACGTCGTGCGCAAAAGCGCGGGGCCAGGGGTCAAGGGTTTCACATTTGCAAAATTCGAAACGCAGCTCCGCAAGTGCGTGCTGCCCTTGCCCATCGTCGGTAGCGCACGAGACGGCCAACTCCGCGGATGACACAAAAAAAATGAATGTTGGAGCTTAGTGTTGTGCTCGACGGCGTTGTTTTGACAAGAGGTCAAACTCACTAGAGACGGGAAACTTGTGCAGAACGAGAATACCAAGCGCGTGTATGAAACACGAGGGGGTGTGCAGGCGAAGCTTCCTGCCCATGGTGGACACCGCCTGCAGTGGAGCGACGAACACAGAAGGGACTCAACGTTATCTCCTCTTTATTCTAGTACTTTCATACAAGGAATGATCACTTCGTCACACAATGTACTGAAGACAATATCCATGTACATGCTTAAACCGATGGGTGCGTCTGGATGCGGTTTGCTTTCTCCTTTCATTGTCCGACACCATGAAGGCTCGGAGAAGTGGGGGGCGGCAGGGGGGAGGAGGTGGGTTGTGGGGGGGGGCATGGGGAGGGGGAAGGGTCGCCCACCTCCATTCAGAGTGCTTCAGTACAGCAGTGCATCCTCACACCAAAAAAAACTCCAGGGGTAGAAATACCCGAAAATAACAAAGCTAAAAAAAGTTCATCTAAACAAAAAGAAAATAATATTGAAGATCAAACACTGCTCAAGTGACCGAACTTGCCCCACCAGTAACCAAACCACGCACGCTGCTGCTGCTGTTGCTATGACGACGTGCACACCCCCCCCCCCCCCCCGGGGGGGGCTGCCACCGGCTCGGCCACCAACACGGCGTGGCAGCTGCTCGGCATGAAATGTAGAAAGTGGCTCATGGGGCGACTCGTGCGAGGGGGGGTGGAGCAATGATTGTGGGCTGGGTCATCATAATTGAAATGGGGGGGGGGGGGTGGAGCAATGATTGTGGGCTGGGTCATCATAATTGAAATGGGGGGGGGGGGGGTAGCCGGATAGTTAGTAGGGGATGGGGGGGTCATGACAGGAGAGCTCGAGGAGGCCCGAGTGAGCAGTCATTGCGTGGCGGGAACTGCACCGTCAAAGCTGTGAGAACAAACACCACGAGTGAACGCTGGGGACAAGCAGTGGAAACGGGGCTCCCGCAGGTACAACAGGGCTCAGGACCAGGGATTGTTGGGTTAGCCGATGGGGTTTGGCTGGGAGACGGGGCTTAAGCCACCGGATGGATTGGCTCTTGATCTTCGCGTACTGAAATGTACCCCCCACCCCAGCCCCCTTCCTATCTTCCCACCCTTTCCCCTTGCGGCCAGGGTACCAACCGTTTCACTTTTTGTTCCAAGTCGCACTTGCGTTTTTAATGTTTTGCCCAACGGCGCCGGGTCGCCAGACTCGACGCCACGCTCGTAAACGACGGGAGATCGCCGTCGTTATTTATCGCCGCAGCCGCCTCCTTCTCGCGTTCAACGGCGACGAGCAGACGCGGGCGAAAGGGGAGAGACACACGGAGAGAAAGCTGCACTTCACACGCGCACACAACCGCAAAAAAAAAACAGAACGGCCGAACCCCGACGGTCCGACGCGGCGCACTGGACAAACGACCAATCACTAACGAACGTCCGCATCACATCAAGCCGCCAACGAGTCCGAGAGACGGCGCCGGATCGCTGGAGGAGGATCGCTGGGTGGGGGGGGGGGGAGGAAGGGGACGATTGTGGTGGGCGGCCGGGCGGGAGAGGTTACCACCGCGTGGTTGTCTGTCGGTCGGCCAAATCAAAACTCCTAGCGGACTTCATTTGCTAGAAGAGCAAGTGAGTTTCACATTAGAAGCCAGAGGGCTCACTCCGCAGGGTCTTCCTGGAGGTACCCTTGTCTACGGTGTGCTCTCTCCCCCCCCCCCCCTAACTGGACAGCAAGGGCTGCCTACCGAGTGTGCCGCATTGTTTGGGAGGTGGCGGGAGTTGGGGCTGGCGGGAAAATCGGCGGACAGGCGGTGTGGCGAGGGTGCGCAGATAAAAATACAAAGGCGCGGTGGGAGAGGGGGGGGGGGACAAGTGGAAGGATTAAGCTTCCTGTTGATTGGCTAAACGGGGGGGGGGGGGGGGGGGTGTTGGTTAACCAGGCCATGCCCGGTGCGGCCAGAACAGCGGCGGCCAAAGACGCTCTCTTACCGGAGGAAAACGGCGGGGTCTCGGCCGCACCGGCGAAAACCAGGACTGGATGGATTAAATTTGCGAACATCAAGTAGGCTTTATTTATTTTTTGGGTGGGGGGGGGGGGATGTGTTGGGCTGGATTGGTAAAAGGGGGCGGGGAGGGGGGGGGAGTGGGTACAGGGCGGCACGGTGTAGTAGTGGTGGGATCATTTTTGGTTCTTGAGCTGGTTGGAGAGCCAGTCGAGGCCCTCGTAGAGGCCGTCCCCACTGGTGGCGCAGGTCGCCTGGATGTACCAGTTCCGGTGGCGCAGCGAGTGCAGGCCCAGCTTATCCGTGATCTCGGCCGCGTTCATCGCGTTGGGCAGGTCCTGCGCATGAGGCGGGGGGGGCGGGGGGGGGAACGATACGCGTCGAGCAACCGTCGCCGTCAGCATGTACGCATGCAGAACTTCTTTCGCACCGTACGCATCCGGCCAACCGTGCTAATCGGAGGTGCGGTGAGCATCCCCGTCGGCTCATCGACTGGGCCAACCACTCGTGCCGAGGACTCGGGTCTACCGCGCGCTGCGTAGGCCCGTCGTCGCGCAGTCCCTAACCGCCACTTCGCTTGCATGCTCGTATATTCGTGTAAAAACATCATCCATCTAAATACAGGGCTGTAGAGGCCACAAACTAATAGCGCTCATCTTACCCACCTCCCCTACACCCCGCGGCCCACCCCCCCCCAACCTGTCCCCGGCTGCACCCCAGCCGCTAGCGCCCACCTGCTTGTTGGCGAAGACGAGCAGCACGGCGTCCCTGAGCTCGTCCTCTGCCAGCATCCGCATCAGCTCCTCGCGCGCCTCGTTCACTCGCTCCCGGTCGTTGCTGTCCACCACGAAGATGAGCCCTGCTCGCGAGGCGGCGAGGGCGCGAGCACGCGGAAAGACAACTCAGCCGACACTTCGGACCACGATCGCCACCCGTTGCCGGCGTTGGCAACACTCGATCCACTGCTGGATGAAAGGCCACCAACCGCCGCCGCGTTCCTGCGACGACGCCTGCAATTGGCGGCCAGGCGGGCCTCTCGATGTCGACCTGGCGCGCTGGCGCCCCCTCGCGTGGACGGAGTGAGGCCGCGCATCGAGCGCCCCTGCTGAAGTTATCGGGCCAGCGCTCTTACCCGCGTGTCGCTCCTGAGCAGGCGGTGGAAATTACACGTCGATATGACGGGGGGGTGGGGAGTTCGAAGCGGACGCAATAAAGTTTCGCAAAGCAGGGAAAAAATAAAACGGCGTACCCTGTGTGTTTTGGAAATAATGACGCCACAGAGGCCTGATCTTGTCCTGGCCGCCCACGTCCCACACCGTGAAGCTGATGTTCTTGTACTCCACTGTTTCTACGTTGAAACCTGGACGCACAAGCACGCAGACACGCGCGGAAGTGGTGAGACGGATGCCAGCCAGCAATGGATCTCACGGCCACACAGGCACAGTAGCTATGAAGGCAGAAGCAAATATGTAGCGTGTAAAGTCCTTTCGTCCGTCAATCCAGCGGTGGATTGAGGGCCTGCCCAGGCCTCTGATTGTCACCACAGAACTCGTGCCAGGCTAGGTACACTTTGAGCCTTTCATAAGAAGTTTCTAAGCCTCTCTGCTGCCAGGAGGTCATGATACAAGACCCAAGTATTGCGGGTTAACTGATACACACATACAGGTAGTCCCCGACTTACGATGGTCCGACTTACGATATTTCGATCTTACGATGGCAATAGCGATGGCAAAATTGTAAAAAAAAAATTAGTTTGCACGGCAGGCAAACGCAGCAGCGTACGAGGTACGATACTGTAACTTTGTCATCGCCATCCTCCTCTTCCGACAACTAGGTTAATGTAGCCATCAACAACCTAACATCGTTCAAGTATGCAGATGACGGACAGAATCTTGGTGAGTAGAGTAGACTATTATACGTTACGATGCGTTCAATGCATGTTTGCTACATAGCTTTAGCGATTTCATTCTAGGGTTGCCACGATACGATACGTTAAATGTATGTTAGAAGTTTTTATAGCAGATAGGATTGTTTCCTGAAAAAACTTTTTTATGAAATTGCAGTTCATATAGGTAGGCTAAGAATTTACCTTGTTTTTTTTACTTTAAATTTTACTGTGCAAAACAGTATTGTAATTAATAAATACATACAGTATATAGTTTATACAGTACGGTACTGTAAATTGCTCTGTTTTGCTAAATTATCACCATTCTTTAAGACTCCTGGGTAGGCTAGGCAATTTTCGACGTAACGATATTTTCGACTTACGATGAGGTCGTCGTAACGCATCTACATCGTAAGTCGGGGACTACCTGTACATGTATCCACACGTACATATGTAGACACAACTACACAATGACTGACAACTCTGTCAATCCACTGCCGGATGTGGGCTTGCCCACAGCGTATGGGCCCGTGAGGCTAATTTGACCAAACTTCACCACATCGGTGATAGCGGGTTGATACAAGTATGGGGCATAGATGTAGGAGCATAGATTTACGGCACAACAATGGTGCTGCACTGCCCTCTGCTGACCACCACAGAGCATGGTCGAGGGTGGCGGACCATTCCACCACGTGTACAGACGAGGTGGAGGGGGGACAGACCATACCACAATTATATACAGGGTTGGTGGAGGGTGACAGATTATTCCACCGTCTGTACAAGGTAGACTGAGGTGGACTTCCATAATGCGCACAAGGCAGATGGGGTGGGGGGGTGATGGTAGGTTCGTTCTACTATCCACACAATGTTGGCGATGGTGGAGAGGGTGGGACGATCCCATTATGCCCACGGATGATAGCAGGGGGTCCACTTGCCTGTACCATAATCTACACAAAGTAGGTGTCAGTGAAGGAGTTTAGGGGGAGGTCGTGCCTATTGTGGGGATGGTGGTGACGATCTCTCCCAGCTTGAGCTTGTAGAGGATGGTGGTCTTGCCAGCGGCGTCGAGTCCCACCATCAGGATTCGCATCTCCTTCTTGCCGAAGAGGCCCTTGAAGAGGTTCGCAAACATGTTCCCCATGGCTGCGGTTTCGTGGTGGCACCTGCCCTGTGGAAGTTTGGCAGAACAAAACCAACGGTTCAAAGAGATTCTAATCAAGTTTCCATGAAGAACGCTTTCCAACATCCATCCCATACACATGGGGACCGGTGACACGGGTCCTCATTTTGCCGTACCACCTCCTGGCGAGCTGGGGTGTAAAGCACCTCCTCGAACGACAAATGATGATTCTCTTTATAACACACTATCCCATACAGATGGGGAGCCGTGTGACACAAGTCCACATTCCGCCGTACCACCTACTCCTGGACGAGCCAAGGTGAATAGCGCCTCCTCGAACGACACCCACGCGAAGGGAGTTTTTAGTCAAAACGAGAATTATCTTTATAAAGAACCTTTCAGAGGATCTCAAATGTTTCAAAAGATTTGGTGCAATCTGCCAAGCCGTGTCTCCACGCTGCTAGATAACAGGCACAGCCACGACGGCACAGCTTTAAACCCGGCGACCAAAGTTCCGGAACCCGGCCGCGGCTAATATCAGCGTCAAGTGATATCCGAATCATTTCCCCCCCCCCCCCCGGAATGCCCTGTTCAACAACCTGCACTGACCAGCGTGGTGAAGTACAGTCCAAAACGTTAACGACCCTCACAACGCGTGGCGCTGTACAGAATAATCGGGCGTATGTATTTCATCGCGCTTAAGACATCCAGCAGTCGCAGGCAGAGGAAAACAAGGAATGGTCTGAGCATAGCTTTGATTACGGGCAGGGAGTCAACAGCACAGGTTGCCGCGAGAGTTCCAGACTGGGGGGGAAGTGGTGGCAGCAAAGGAGAATGGGCAACCTCTTAATAAGCGAAGATTGACTGCAGTTGACTTAAAGCTTTCTGTGACTGCAGGAATTCATATGCTTTGGGCCTTTCAGGTAAAGCCACGTAGACAGAAAAAATAATACAAATATCCCGACGTTTCGATCGCAACACAAGCAATCGTCATCAGGTGATCAAATATAGCGGGAGAGCTACTGAGGTAGAATTTTTTTTTCCCCTGCCTCAGTAGCGCTCCCGCTATATTTTTTGTGTTGCTATCGAAACGTCGTGATTTTATTTTTCTATCTACGTGGCTTTAACGAATGACCCAAAGAATATTGACTGCAGTTGTTGAAATTATCTTTCTTCAAAAATATTATTCGGTGATGCTGCTGCTGCTGCTGCATTAGCGGCAGTGCACCTGCACGAAACACAAAAAAACCCGAATGAAGAATGTGCGTTCAACCACCACACTAAAGGTCCCAACAACACTCATCCATCCACTCACCCACCCACCGACCACACAGCAGGTTGCAACAATAACCTCTCTGCTTTTTCCCCTCGCACTGCTCCGCTTCGGTATTCCCCTCCCATCAGTCTCTATTCTCCAAACTTTTACAAGAACTACATTTCGATTCAAAGCTTTCGTGACTGCAGGGATTCACATTCTTGGTTCTTTCGGTAAAGTCACGTAGAAGGGAAACAATTATGTTTTATGTTTTCATTATTTCATTGCTTCCCTTCCACGTTACTTTTACAAGAACCTCGCTTCAATTCAATAAAGCTGTTACACTCGTAAGCAGTTCAAAGCTGTTTTGTTTCTGGCCGCTTGATCTTTCGGGCCATTGGGCCTATGCTAAAAAAAACACCCGACGTAGCTATTACACACAGTGCACGCTGTAGTGACAGTGCGCGTCCCATTCCCGTAGTCTCACGACTCTTGCGCTCACTCGAGAGGCTGCCAGAGGCAGCAAAAGTGCGAGGGGAAACAGGACACCCACGCCGCAAACTATTTCACAATCCTGAACCTCGCCCCAAACCCCCCCCCCACTCGGCCATGACGGCAACAAAAAATTACCGCCGTCAAAGGAGCGCCCTTTTAACGCGCGCGCTCAACTACGTCACTGTCAAAACTGCCACGGCGCGCGTGTCGACCTCTAACGAGGTCGGTTTCTTTTCAATTCGCTGCTGGACGAGCGGCCTCTCGGCCCCCCTCGCCGTGCGTGTGGCGGGGGTCATTATAGCGAACTTCACCCCGTAATAGGGCAGTGCGGGGTCGGTGAAGACAGAGGAGAGGCGGAGCGTAGATAGAGACGAGAGAGCTGTACACGGCTGGCGATTGACGGGAAAGAAAGGGTGACCGACTAAGAGTCGGGTGATAAATACCGATCGTTGAGTTCAAAGAGACAAAACAAGACGCATCCCAGGGATACCAAATGTTGATATGCCAGAGATAAAGGCGATAGATAGACAAGCAATTTGGATTAGCACACGGTTGGCTACGTAGGGTGCGAAAGAAGTTCAACATACATATGTTACGTCGCAGGACTGAGATGGCGAGAGCTCTCGAACGCCTTCATCCAACAGTGGATTCAGTACAACTGATTTGTGACTTGATTATAGTGAGATAAAAAAACGATAAGAGATGAGAGAGCTGTAGACATGCGGTAGATCAGTGATCACACGTACAGATGACGACATCGCGATGTCACATCGTGTGTGACGTCACGTGACCCCGTCGGCACACGCCGAGAAACTGACGAGACCCTGGCGCAGGGCACACGCTGGCACTGCCAGGGTGCGTATTACGCTCGGGGAATAACACAAGAACCCTTTTACAAACGGAATATCTCCTCCTGTCAACAGACATTCACACTGCCAGCATCCCTTGCACATGCCTGTGGAGCTTCGACAATCAAACGCAAGAGCCGATAACGGATTTCTTCAATTGTATCTCAGTGGCCAATGTGCTCTGGCCTCAAGCCGAACATGCGACTCGACGAGAGACAAAGGCTAACGTCAGCGGTGAGTTACAACCGAACCAGTCCTGCCCCCCCCCCCCCCATCTTCGCTAACAACAATAATTGGCAAGTATGGTGAAGCAAATGCCCATCCCCAACCCCCACTCCCTCATCCAGCCATGGATAATGCACTTAGATCTAGATCAGTTGCTCTCTGATGTGTACACAGGTTGTGCCACTTGCTGTTCGGCACAATGCGCATGTTGAACTTCTCCTGCATCGTACGGTGGGAGCCAACCGCGCTAATCTGAAGTGCTGCGGGCAAAGGACAAGCGAAATGCAAAAATGTCCCGACGTTAAGCTCCAGGGCAGCACAACCGCAACACCTACTCGGTAATCGATGACTCTGCCGATTATCGATTATCACTCAACTCATCAACTGGAGGGTGGAAAAAGTGTCGCCTGTCCCCACGTGCGCCGCTGGACGGGAGGTCACGGGTGGCGGGGTGTGCATGGTGACGTCGCAGGCAAAATCAGCCGCGTCACGCTGGACTCAACTATTCGGATATCCCAGCTGCATGGTGCTAACCCAAACTCGCACAACGGAAACCTGGGGCATTGTGTCTCATCGTCAGGCTTTCAGTGGCCGAGCGTCTCTAGACACAGCGAGTGAGTTTGTCGAGTGTCACTTTAAGGGGGGGGGGGCGATTACTCTGTGCCTTGTTTACTCAGCCGGGGAAGCGTGTGGCGTGGTCAAGGGGCCCGCGCGGACACTTTGGTGCCACGCGGCGCCAACACCGAGCCTCTTTAACCGGGGCCCCCAGCAGCCAAAGATTGCCCCGACCCCCACCCTCGCCTCTATAACCATACAGGATGCTGGGGCAAGTGCCGCGAGTGCTAGGGGGTGATGTGGCTAAGCACCACACCCAGCTGCGTGCGTCTTCCTCAGTGCTGATGTTTCATTTACACACTGCACCAAGTATTAACTCAAGGGCCGATTCGATCTAAACGAGGCTCAGGAGCGGTTCGGATATCACTTGATAATGATGTTGACCGTGGTCAGGAATCAAACTCGAGTAGCCGAGTTTCATGCGGCAATATGCTAAGTACTATTGCTGCTCACATACAAATCTACACTCAATGACCGATATCTCTCATAGAGCCTATAAGCAGGCTGCTAGGGAAAGTGATGTTCGTGAACACACACACACACAGATTCACCTCCAGATGGCATACACCACCCAAAGACAGTGATGTTAGCACGAGGCACTTGCCAGGCTAGAAGCATTCTGCAGCCGCTATGGGTGGTGTGGCAAAAGTTCACTGGCACAGCAGCGATATAATCGAAGAGAATACGCAGGTTTTAGGAATCAACTGCGCAGATTGACCGGCATATTTACGGCACTCTGCCAACGCTCGGCACACACACAAACCGCAGTGCTGCTTTGGTAACGAGCACAGTCCAGCGACACAATCTACAGGGGCCCTATCCCAATCTCCACTTTAGCACCGGTCAAAATGTCTCTCCGATTGGACGAGTTGTGGAGTGCCGCTTATTTTTGGATGCTTGCCAAGACACTTTTTTTTTCAAAGAAAACACTGTACAAGCAGATTTATTTGAAGCTTTCGTGACTGCCAGGAATTACTCTTCGGTTCTTTCGGTAAAGTGACGTAGAAACAATATAAATGAAGTAATAAAAGACGTTTCGATTGCAACATAAGCAACCGCAACGTCGTATTTAGTTTGTTTTAGTTCTACCTGATGACGGCTGCTTGTGTTGCAATCGAAACGTCGTTTTCTATTATTTAATTTATTTTCTTTCTACGTGGCTTTTCCTGAAAGAACCAAAGAGTAAACAGATTTATTTCGATGGGTGGTTTAATAACCACAACTATTTTTTTTTTTAAAGTTTATCTCGTTTTGTCATTCACTTTAAAGCAACGTAAGGTAAATAAACGATTGCCCAATGGCTAAGCGCAACTGCACCGACAACTCGAGTTAGAATACTGGCCAAAGCTGGCATCATCGGTGGCGATGGATATCTTAACCTGTCCCCGCCCCATCACTTCATCATTGAACAACAAACCGGCGTGCTTAAGTAGTTGTGGGCAAAGTCACGCAAAAGACATCTCGTGCGGAGGCCGCCTGAATTGGCAACGGACTGGCAAAACCATGAACCAATGTATTGCCGCTATTTTTAAAGCAGAGATGTATTTATTTGTTAAGCTAAAAAAACAAGTCTCAATTAACAGGAATATAATCGCTTGAGGTGCTTTATGAACGCAGGGCATTGAAGGCTATTCCCTTCGTTTGTTCTCCAAAGGCACAGAAATTGCCGTCATTATCGTCAATTACTGCCGTATAAGAAAACACACATACGAGGATATGTTTTAAAACTCGGCCACGTATGGGTGGATTTGTCCCTAGTTCCGTCATGTAAAGCGATGCAATAACAGGTCCATGCAGGGTGGGCTGGTAGGACAAGTCTCTGCGCTGTCTATTGCTGATTTTACACCCAACAGCACAAGATTTCACTTCGTTAAAGTATTGAAAGGGGACGGACGGACACATTAATCTATTGCAGGCTGGTACACTCAGTTTACAACTTCGTTCCTACCAGTAAAACATCTCTCCAAGGAAATCTCGTGTTCGAGCGCTAGGTGGATCGTTACATTGTAAGACGCACCGTTTGCGGAAGCCGTCATCCAGCAGTGGATTGACCATGGCCGATGACGAAAAAGTTCACTTGTGAACAATGTTAATTGATTAGTCCGACTGTCATTTTCAAATAATACACGTTTGAAGGTGATTGTCAAGTGACGTATACACCGAAGCACATTCACTTTCAACATTTCCTTCTCGCCATAAAGCGGTGACATTAACATTGAATGTAACCTCTCGCGCGGCGTTTCAGGACCCCGGCCTTGCGCACAGAACTTTTACTCTTACTTCGGGCACTTGGAAAAAAACACTAAACGTGCTTTACAAGCGCGGCGACTGTTAGGACTTCCCTGTCGCTCTCTGCCTTAAACCGAACTCAAACTGTACCCCGAACATTGTTTCCCCAAGACCGAAACGTCGACCTTCCGCTCTGAAAACAGTCATGGTCAATCCACTCGCTGACTGAAGGCCTCCTCACCCTCTCCCCCCCCAAACAGCAGCCGCAAATCTCCTGCGATGTTAAAGATCCACGCCAGCACCTTGCACACAAGAGCTAAACACTCCCATCTTCTCCACCGCCCGTGTTGGACGTTCTCGATACTGCGCTCCTGCTATTTAGCTACCAAACGGCAAGTTTGCCTCGCCCACAGGTCCATCGTCCTTCCTGGCGACGTGTCCTGCACGCAGGCCCCACTCACTCGTTCCCCTTTCACAGTCCAGACGACGTCTTTAACGGGTTCGCATGCTCCATGACATTCTAAGGCGTTATCCCTCCCTGTAGAGACTCTGTACGAACACAAGTGATGTGTACGTCTCTTGTCACAGGACAATTTGGGGACGTCACACGATCGGCTAGACTCGGGCGCAGCGGAACGATTTACGATCATAAACCCAATGACATTACGGAAGAACGGAATCTCAAAGGGTATTAACAACACGTCTGAAGACACGAAACTAAACACATACAAAATATCCCCCCCCCCCCCACGACGGCGACGACCGCGGTACCGTCTCTCGGATAGCTGAACCCCCCGCGTGTGGGTCGCCTCCCCAGGCGGCGCTTCCAGGCGAGCCCCAAGGCTTGAGCCCCGCGGCCTAGCGAACAAGGCCGCCGCCGCGGCGGTGGTGGGGGGGGGCGCGAGGGGAGGGGTGGAAATGGCGGAAAGCGGCGGGGAAAGCGCGCGGCGCGGGGCGGCGGCCGCTTCGTCTCCTTCAGCCGCCGCCGCCTCGGCGCTGGCGACGACGGCGGGCGGCGGGCGGGATGGAAGCTGCGGTGACTCCGCGGGTGCCCGGGCTAAGGGAGGCGAGGGGAGCACGGGAGCGGCGGGCCGAGGGGGGGAACGCGGAGCCGCGCGGGGACGAACTCGGTACCTGGCGGCTCCCGGCGAGGCTCAAAATGGCGTCCGGCTGCTTCCCCCTCACCTCGCGCCACGTCACCCGTGACGTCACGCGCCCGCTTTGTTTGTTGCGGGAGGGGGGCGCGAGCGCCGCGTGACGTCGCCGCGCAAGCGACGCGTGACGTCCCCCGCGCAAGCGACGCGTGACGTCGCCGCGCAAGCGACGCGTGACGTCGCCGGCGCGCAAGCGACGCGTGACGTCGCCGCGCAAGCGACGCGTGACGTCGCCGCGCAAGCGACGCGTGACGTCGCCGCGCAAGCGACGCGTGACGTCGCCGCGCAAGCGACGCGTGACGTCGCCGCGCAAGCGACGCGTGACGTCGCCGCGCAAGCGACGCGTGACGTCGCCGCGCAAGCGACGCGTGACGTCGCCGCGCAAGCGACGCGTGACGTCGCCGCGCAAGCGACGCGTGACGTCGCCGCGCAAGCGACGCGTGACGTCGCCGCGCAAGCGACGCGTGACGTCGCCGCGCAAGCGACGCGTGACGTCGCCGCGCAAGCGACGCGTGACGTCGCCGCGCAAGCGACGCGTGACGTCGCCGCGCAAGCGACGCGTGACGTCGCCGCGCAAGCGACGCGTGACGTCGCCGCGCAAGCGACGCGTGACGTCGCCGCGCAAGCGACGCGTGACGTCGCCGCGCAAGCGACGCGTGACGTCGCCGCGCAAGCGACGCGTGACGTCGCCGCGCAAGCGACGCGTGACGTCGCCGCGCAAGCGACGCGTGACGTCGCAGCGCAAGCGCGTCGTCGAGGCTATTGCGCTGTGGTGACGTCATCAAAGAGAGAGGGAGCCCACTTTGTGATGTCGTCACGTGTCACCGTTCCGCGAACGGTAAAATGAACGCCATCGGCTCGTTCCTGCGGGGTGACGGCACGATAAGGTCCGCAGGGGGATCCTGCAGTCGCTCCTGTACAATGACGTCACTAACCAATCCTGCGCAGTTTCCATGACGTCATCAATCAGGCTTCTTAGATGACGTCATCCGATAACAACAAGAACGTCACTCTGCACGTGCTCGCGAGTCTGTGACGTCATTTACCAATAAGGCGCGATTGGGAGGTCTGGACATCAATAATGCGAAGAAGCTTCGTGAGCTGCATGGCTCCATCGGATTCCTCCGGTTCAGTCACGCCAGGGCCTTTGTGGGAGCGCCTCATTCCACCACCGTCATTGCGTCAAGACACGCGGAACTCTGGACCGATCTCAAAATGCGGCAGGCAGGGTCATTGCCCGAAACGTCGCCTACTTCTGTTTACACCTTTTTTTCCCGCTTTATGAAGGCCACACGCTGTGTCAGTGATGAATTACGTGGAGGAGTTTCCCCCCCGCCCTGTAATTCGAAGGGACACGTGGCCTGGCGTCTCCACGAGAGGGCGTCAGAGCCGAGTAGACCTGAGCACAATGGGAAGGCAACATTAACACATTGGTGTCCAGCGCCGTGGCCTGCAGAGGAACATCGTCTATGTATGTAGAATATGCGACGTTTCGGGCAATGACCCTTTTTAACAGTGCCGGATTCTCCTAGTAGCAAAAGTGTAGCTACTACATATGTACACAGCGTTGGTGTACCGTGCTATTTCAGGAATATTTTGATGTTTTTTTTTCCTGGATTTTCTGTTTGCACAGTCACAAAGTCACTTTAAGATGTTTTATTGTTCATGTTTTTGTTTGTTACGGTTTCACCCGATTCAAGAGCCGAATGGCTCACAGGGCTATGCCAAATAAATTCAACTAAATAAATGGAACTAAAGTAGCTACTACATATGTAGTAGTAGCTACTACTACATATGTAGTAGTAGCTACTACTACACATGTAGTAGCTACGGGCCCTGAACTTTCAAGGGCCCCGCGCTAAATGCTTGCGAACTATCAATTCCGGCTCAGTGATTCTGCACTTGCTCTATTACTACAGTACTATACCGCCTTTAACTTTTATGAACGACCGGGTGTTTCAGGTTAGCGATTTGTCGTATTATCTGGCTGTATAGCAAATGAAAAAATGCAATAAAAAATGCAATTGCTTTAACTTGCAATTACTTGCAAGTTAAAAATGTATGTGTTTTCATATTTACGTGTTTTTTTTAATTTAGGGCCCCTTTGTAACATATGCTACAATCCCCGCACCAGCTTCATCCAGCACTGCTTCTTAATAATAATAATAAAAGTGGGAGTGTGGAACAGATGCAGATTAGTTAACACTTTGCTGTACCGTCTTTTCCTGGCCAAAGGCAGGAGGAGAGGGTATGGCTCCTGTACGTACGCTGAATTTCTTTCGCACCGTACGTAGCAACCCGTGCTAATCGGAGGTACGGAAATCCTCTTAGACACCCACGCAAATGGAGCGTGGAACAGATGGAGATTAGTCCACACTTTGCTTTACGGCATTCACATGGGCGAGCCAGGGTACGGCACCACTTTGATGTCCACGGGAAGGTATGGGAGTTTCACAGCATCATCCGTGTCCGATCCACCAACCCTCCCTGCAGCATGAGCAGCCACGTGCAGCAGCAGCAGCCAAGTGCAGCAGCAGCCATGTGCAGCCACTGCAGCAGCAGCCACGTGCATCAGTAGCCACGTGCAGCAGCAGCAGCCACGTGCAGCAGCAGCAGCCACGTGCAGCAGCAGCAGCCACGTGCAGCAGCAGCAGCCACGTGCAGCAGCAGCAGCCACGTGCAGCAGCAGCAGCCACGTGCAGCAGCAGCCACGTGCAGCAGCAGCCACGTGCAGCAGCAGCAGCCACGTGCAGCAGCAGCAGCCACGTGCAGCAGCAGCAGCCAAGTGCAGCAGCAGCAGCCACGTGCAGCAGCAGCAGCCACGTGCAGCAGCAGCAGCCACGTGCAGCAGCAGCCACGTGCAGCAGCAGCAGCAGCAACGTGCAGCAGCAGCAACGTGCAGCAGCAGCAGCCACGTGCAGCAGCAGCAGCCACGTGCAGCAGCAGCAGCCACGTGCAGCAGCAGCCCTGTTCAGCAGCAGCCACGTGCAGCAGCAGCAGCCACGTGCAGCAGGAGCAACCACGTGCAGCATGAGCAGCCAAGCGCAGCGTAGCCACGTGCAGCAGCAGCAGCAGACACGTGCATCAGCAGCCACGTGCAGCAGCAGCCACGTGCAGCAGCAGCCACGTGCAGCAGCAGCCACGTGCAGCAGCAGCAGCCACGTGCAGCAGGAGCAGCCACGCGCAGCAGCAGCAGACATGCGCAGCAGCAGCAGACACGTGCAGCGTAGCCACGTGCAGCGTAGCCACGTGCAGCATCAGCCAGGTGCAGCAGCATCAGACAGGTGCAGCAGCAGCGTAGCCACCACCACCACCACCGCGGTCTGACGAGCAGGCATGGCAAGAACGAGCGTCCGTGTGGAGAATACCAGCAACACAATAACGTACGGTGCTAAAGAAGTTAAACGCACATACAATTAAGCAGCCAATCCACATACATGTCAACGCCTTATACATCTCAACGTTCATCCTGCAAAGTCCATCACAAGGGAGAAACACAAACAAATAGACAAAATTATGATTTTGTTGCCTGTATTGAAACGCCTGTACCGCCGTATGGACCTAAAAACTAAATTTCACTGTAAAAGAATACGGGGTAAACCGCATGGGTTGACAGCTATGAATCTTCTTCTTTGGTTCTTTCGGTAAAGTCACGTAGAATGAGAATAAAATAATAAATTGATCAAATAAAATAACACAATAATATTCTCACGACGTTTCGGCCACAAGCGGCCTTCATCAGGTGAAGGGACGAGACTGTCTGGTAGGACAGCGCTGAAGTGAAAGAGCCACGTTCAGATCACGACCTTTAAGCTTAAAGGTCGTGATCTGAACGTGGCTCTTTCACTCCAGCGCTGTCCTACCAGACAGTCTCGTCCTTTCACCTGATGAAGGCCGCTTGTGTTGTGGCCGAAACGTCGTGAGAATATTATTGTGTTATTTTATTTGATCAATTTATTATTTTATTCTCATTCTACGTGACTTTACCGAAAGAACCAAAGAAGATGAATCATTGCAGTCACGAAAGCTTTAAATCGAAAGCTATGAATCTGTTTACCATGTAGGCTTTCGCGACCAATATCCATTATAGAAGTTTTTTTGGGTTAGATCGCGTAACTATATAAATGTGTGTCGTTAAACCCCGCCACCACCCGACACAGCCAACTAGTAAGGGTTGTCACGTAAACAAAACGTGGCCAGCTCGTCACTAGTACAGCACTGGTGTATAGTGTAGTGTATTGTGTATAGTAGTGTAGTGTATAGTGTAGTGTATACTAGTACAGCACTAGTGTATAGTGTAGTGTATTGTGTATAGTAGTGTAGTGTATAGTGTAGTATAGTGTAGTGTATAGTGTAGCGTATAGTGTAGTGTAGTTTATAGTGTAGTATACTAGTGTAGCACTACACCGGTTGTGTGTTGGAGAGTCAAGCCACAACATTTACAGCCAGATCTGGCTGACGCCTGATGAAGCTGGTTGTAATTACTGGCGAAGCGTCGTGCTCAGATTATAAATGTTGTGGCTTGGCTCTCCAACACACCGGTGTGCTGTACTAGTACACTACACTATACACTACACTATACACTATACTATACACTACACTATACACTACACTAGTGCTGTACTAGTACACTACACTACACACTACACTATACACTACACTATACACTACACTATACACTACTGTACACTACTATACACTACACTATACACTACTATACACAATACACTACACTATACACCAC